AACCGAAGTCAAAAAAAAAAAGATAAAATGGGGTAGTGGCAGTGATGTATGATAGCTGAGTGATCGAAGGAAAGGACAAATTGCTGGAGCGAACCGGTGCGGGGGTGGGCCAGTGCTGCCTCGAAGAAGTTGAAAATGAGGATTTTAATAGATCTGCTCTGTTGCTGCTGCTGCTGCTACTTCCTCTCCTGGATCACAGAGCCTTGCCGGGAGTGTGGTCTATCGCTGGAAACCTTTCCTCATCTAGCAAAGCTTGCTTTCCTGCCTGCCTGCCGTTTAGGCCCATCGATCGCTGTGGAGACGGATTGCAATCCGTTTAGGCCTGTCTCGTGGTTTTTTTTGTCGAGGGGCTCTAGTGCAGGCCCAGGCTGTTATTGCTCCATACCTTTGCATCCCATTATGTGCTGTTGCAGTGCGCCGAATTGCTCTTTTTTCTTCGAGCAACTTCTCCGGGATGGATGCCATCATACCAGTCTCGCGTCATTCTGCTTCCCTTGAAACTCGTCCACTTCGTTGTTTTGTGAGTGAATCTGAGCCTCCTGCAGCTCAGAAATTACATTTAAACAAAATAGCCCAACATTCGTTGTAACATTTTTAATTGAGCTTAATTTTTCTTTAACTTCTGTTTTTGCAGGAAAAATAGGTGGGACGGGAGGGGAGTAAAAAAGCCTAATAAAAAAGCACTGGCTTTCAACTGTTGCTATTGGTTTTGAATGGCGTGCCGCACCCCGCCATGCCTCTCCTTTCCGCTGCTTTCTTTGTTTATCGCTTTTACAGGGCAGTCCTCGTTCTGTGCGATGAATAGGCGGCCCACATAGTGCTGTATCAATTGTTTTTTCATATTTTTACCGCATAAATCATTCTGGCATTTGTATATACGAGAATGAGAGTGATGTTTCAGTCCAGAAATTTTGTCGCAGTGTTTCAATCGAGAACTACAAAAGCTAGGAAGTTGCAGTTTGGAAGCGTGTTGCTCAGCCGTATAGTGAGACAGAAGTTTTCAAGACAGCGTAAGTAAAATGAGTGATCAGGTTTACGCTTTGGTTTCAGTCATGTCAACATATCAAACATTATAATTTACATACTTTTACTTTCTACTTTTACTTTTCACTTTTCACTTATACATTTTTCGCTTTTACTCTCATTTTATTCAGTTATCTTTCTGTTGAATACACTTGTTGTAACCAAAACCGTCATAATGATGAAGTCCAGTTGTGGTACCAAATAAGAATGTATACGACTTGACGGACTGAAACATTCCTATTTAGATTTATCATTCTTACTTCAGTCTTTTCCCGAATTGATTTTGTTTTAAAATTAACAAATTCTCTTATATCATAATCGTTTCGTGAAATATGATGTCCGCTGCTGTAGTGCACATTATTCAATGAATAGAACAAGAAATTTCATTGTAGTTGTTCCTTGTAAGCTCGCAAAAGCTGTATAAAAAATATTTAAACGCACCAGCTGCTAGTGCGCATCGTTGTCTACTCCAGTTACGAGTGGTCGGCAGGTATGGCACATCGGGAAACACCTTTACTATCGTTTTTGTGGATTCGACTTCGCCGGTGGAACAAGCAATCCCTCTACGATTCCTTCATTCATTTCGGTAGTAAACTGATCAGCCCGACCATCCTCCACTTGTTTCTAAGCAACCCATGAAGGAAGGAGTCATCGACAGCCATGCTAGCGTGCGGTCGTTCAGGTTACTTCCCGGGTACTTCGGTCTCTTATAGCGAATGTGGAGGAAGTTTTGGTTTTTCGACATGAACTGTGGGGACGCAAAAACACGGCCCATTTAATCGGAGCAAGAATGAGGAGCCCTTGCCTTCCGGTTCCTATTTTACCGCACCCCACTTTCCTCTCCCTCCTCCTCCCTCACCTGGACTCCTCCCTGCGAGCCTATCTTACATTTCAAAAAAGAACACAAATGAGTATCCTTGAACAGTTTCACGTATGGGGGATGGGCAACGACAGGCCATCAACTATCCGGTTCCTTGTGAACAATGCAGTGGTTCATTGAGCATCATCACACGGTTGCCACTGCATATCGTGATAAATATGATGAAGCTGTTCATCCGGTGTCCGTCGCTGCTGCTCTGCTCTGTAACAATGCTCATTTGGTAGCTCTTCGGATGAGTGGACACTCGCCGTCTGACCAGTGCGTCCACTTTGGTCCCAGTCAGTTTCCGCTTTATTTTCTGCCCGGTGTGAGGACCAGAATTGCTTTCATCATAATCTTACTGAACTCAACTCAAGGCCAAAATCTCAATACATTCACTCTCTGTGAGGGGCAGAAACACTCGAAAGTAATCTGAGTGGTAGCACATGCCAACAGCAACCATTCACTAACAAAGCTGTGGTTGACCTCCTCTTTCAAGCGTTGCTTAAAAATAAACGGGTGGTGGTATGACTCCTTGGCATTCGCCAGTGCCAATTGACTATCGTAACGAATCAGCGAATCACGAAGGCGCTCGCTGTTCCATTAGCAAAACTAAGGATTTTCCAGCACAAGAGCTACGCTTCTGGCCGCTGCATTATGCCTAGCAACATTCATCGCATTAATTCCTCCCTCAGATGCTTTAGTTTTCGTATTTCCCTTTCGCCTGGCCTTACTCTCTTTCTTAGTCGACTCCTCCTCGCCCATGTTCCTCGGATTTAACCCAAAATACAAGTAGTTTTCATGTTATTTGCAGTTTTCAGCGTTCAAAGAAATTATTTCTTCTGAATAGTCATAATCGAAAATCCGGAAAAGAATGGGATTGACTTCCGGAAATACGCGCTTTCTCCGGTACTCACTAAATTTGACGTTTTCTGTTGCGTTCAGTGGGTTGTTGGTCGGATTTAGTTCTTCCACTGATTGGGGTTTCTCGTTGCGTTGGTGGTTTTACTACTTCAGATAGTAAAAGATAAGAGTGTGAGTGTACGCATCGTCTGCTTCGAAATTACGCCACTGAATCATACCAGTGAATCATTTTTTGCCAGTGCGAAGCTGACTATTTTGTTTTGCGAGTCATCTTCCAACGATTGTAATTCCCTGAATTTTTTTAACAATTTTGATGCGGTAAAGTGAAATTGCTGCTTTCTCTGATGCAGCATGCCTGTGTTGGTTGCTCTTTCATGCTTTACATTGCGCAAACTGACTACTGTGTACTTCTCGTGGAAGTCCCTGCTCGCATCGTTGATCCTGATCCTGACAGTACAATATTTTCGCGCAAAATCAGTCACAAATGCATCCAAATTTTAGAAGATTGTTGCGCACGAATTGTTTTCTGCGCCTCACTTATCAGTCACTGCATTCCCTTATCAGTCAATATCAGTAAAGTCTGTTTGTGTTCTTTGTTTTTCAATTTTCGCATTAACAGTATGAGCGTTTATTACTCACTTTGATAATGTGAACAGTGAACTCTGTTTGGCAGAGTTCAGTTCCATAGTCAACACAAGCGACTCGACGAGAACGGAGCTCCATGCTTATTTTGTGTTATTTTGGTTTGCTTAAAGTGCGCTTCAGATGAATTCGCCAATCTCTCGTGTCCTGAGCCACTTGTATTTTCTTTCTTCGTGTCTTGACTAGATCAGTTTTACTAAATAGAACTGCTGAGGCAATCAGTTGTATTTTGAGTCTGTGCTTCATTGAAAAAGGTGCGCCTTAGGGGAAACGAACAGTGGAGAAGTCGTTATAAAATAATGTGAATACATTTGCATGAAAAGTCATAATCTTCTCCGTATTCGCTCTCTGCAGTGATACAGAAACAGTCGAGAAGTGCCAACAGCAACTACTCGCTGGTAAGGCTGTTAATAGCTGATGCTGGTGGCAGGTCAGATTCCTTGATATACGCCAGTACTAGTTTACAGTTGAGTGGATGAATCGTGGAGAAATTAGCTGCATTATTGGGGGAGCGAAACCGCTCGATAAGAACGCTACGTGCCATTGCACCATGCCAGCCCGTGTGTGGTGTAAATATAAGGAAAAATATTTGTCATTGATTCCTTACGCTATACCTCATTGTTTGCCTGAGATATTTCTCCCGTGTTCGAAAATAAATACGCGTGACAGCGTTTATGAGCGACTCTCCCTCTCTCTCTTTACTATTGCTCTTCAGGATTTTTTATTGATGAAGTTTTGTTGTTAAGCGCGCGTATTTGCGCATTCCCAGGAAGCCATTCAATTTTTTTTTTCCTATTTTTGGAATACCTATAGTGTGAAATGTTTGAAATAATTTTTGCATTTCTAGAAAATCTGAAAAATCGAAGAAATAATGCATTTACAATGATCATTTCAGTTTATTTCGAAAATGCCTACAATACCCAGTTCTTCATCGATGTAGGTGACAGTTTTTGCATTCCTTTGACCAGTGCTTCGTCGTCTGGTGATTAGCCTGCTGACAGTTTGGAAATTTATTTCGTTTCTTAAAGGTTTTACCTGCTCAGCGGTTCTTCCAACAGAAGCAGTTGGCAAAACTAGCGTTTCAGTGAGTCTTTGATGTATGTGTTGAGCACCATCATCTCGTCTTGAACGTTGGTCGTATTGACCTAGTGGTATTAATACAAGAGCAACAGAAATTTCTAAACTCGAAAAGCTTGAATGCATAATTTTGAGTATGGAACATCGCACTTGTTGAATGAAATACCTCATAGAAATTTAATTTCATATATC